CCGCGGACTACTGAAGGGACAGCCTGGGTCGCGCTCCAAGAGAGCCTCGCCAGTGCTCCTCCTGGTTGCTGCGCCATGGCGGCCTGCAGGTGGCGGCCGAGCGCGCGCGAGAACCCCGCCCCCGGGCGACCTGAAGCGCTCCTTCATCATGGCGCGGTGCACTACCGTGCCTAATGCTTGCTGCCTGCGCTTTCTCGAGAAATGAAATCGATGCCCCAGCCCAATACACAAGCCCAGAAGGATGCGGTATATGTGCCCTCTCGCGTTGATCGTCTGCAGGTGTTTGCAACTCCTCTCGATGCTGCCCTCCTCCGCGCATGGGGTAGGGCCCCCGACGGTATCGCTATGTGATCTATACTGCTCGCCATTATGTTCTCGTTTTTGACGGAGTCGTAAGTCGCCCCACATCAATGAAAGTCGTGACCACCGACAGCAAGTCGTGAACGCGAAACTCCCCGAATGCTGCACCATTGCCGTGATCCGCTTCCTTGGCCACTGGCCCCAATGCTGCTGCATTTTTACCCGAACTGTGCATGCTGACCACCAAAGCCCTGCTGTCTGATCTGTGCAATTACAGTTGGCTGTTGCTGTCCCCTCCCACAATGATTGTAGAGATGCCACCCGTGTCGTCGCATTTCTCATCTACCCACGGTGGGATCATTATATTGTTTGTGTGCCCTCTGTCTAGCGGTAAACCTGTTGCACATATAATGACGTCGTATGTTCTCGTCCGAAATCTGATGCATGCCGTTCTACCTTCCACTTGGGCAAGAGATGAGTATTGCGTGTGAAAGGCCGTGTCTGTCATCATCTCGCTGGAAGCCAGAAGCGTCGCACCACATGACTTGTTGATCAATTTTCCCTTCTTTGCCATGGACTGCAGTGCCGTGTGATATCTTTGGGTCGTCGTCTTCATCGGCCCTGGCCCAGCCCACTGGTGGGTCCCTGTCAGTACAGTCGCATCCCACTCTCGTAGCGCACTGTTTATTTCGTCCCGCCTGTCCGCGGTATTCGCCGCAACTGGAGTGTAGAATGCCAGCCTCATCGTTGCACAGAACGAGAGCACTGCGGTCGCCATCCATCTGTCATGCCCCCCTAACTCCCTCTTTGGCCCGTGCGATTGCGTGGCGGTCGCCGTGTGGGAGAGTTTCAGCAATCCTTTCTCCGTCGGTTCTCAAAGTGTCTGAACCTCCAACGCCGACTAGGAGGACAAGGAGGAGAAAGAGGAGCAGGAGGAGGAGGAGGAGGAGAAGAAGGGGGAAGGGGAAGGGGAAAGAGAAGGCCTTGTGGCACAGAAGAAAGAGGAGCATGGGGATGAGGAAGCGCCACGAAGCGCGAACGCAGCGCCTCGCGCGGTTCGGCCTTCGGGCCGATGTCCTGGAACGGGGAGTTGTCCTGGAGAGTGTCCTGGGGTTGTCCTGCAGCTGGGGTGATCCTGGAAAGTGTCCCGGAAAATGTCCTGGAAAGTGTCCTGAGATGTCCTGGCGAGCGTATGTCTTGGAGGGGTCCTGGAACATGTCCTGGAAGTTTCGTGAGCGGTTCCTGGGAATCTCCTGTAGTGTCTCTTAGGTCCTAGATGTGTCCTGGAGGTGCCCTGGAACGTATCCTGGAAGTTGAGGTGTCCTGGAAGTGTCGTGGCGGGAGACCTGGAATTATTGTTTTCTGGAGTGTGACGTCCGTGGACATTGTCCCCAACCCCCTGGGACCTGGCTCCTGCCTGCTTGCCCGACAAACCATAGGTGTATGATCCTTGGCATGCGTGCTTCTTGTTTTCGCTGCGCTAGGCCATGGCAGCGAAGGGGCCCCTGCAGCGGCAGAAATAACATGGAAGGGGGGCGCGGGAACGAGGTGGTGCCGTCGGGGGCCGTCGCGACCCTGGCGTCCGTCCTCCCCCCTTCCCGCTACCCTCGTTGACAAAAGCGAACGGCCAGACGAGGAGGAGACACACCCCCAAGTGCCCGAGACAACCGCGCAGCGCCTCCTGCAGAAGGCGACGCCACCTTGCATCTCAATGTAGTCTGGCCCTGATCTGGCGGGCGCCCTATTCGGGCCCGTCGCCCAAGCCCCACCGTGGAGAGGAAGCAGCGGAAGAAGGAAAGAAAACGAGCGCGAACGCAAGAAGAAATACCAACAAGAACCGTGCGAGAACATCTCTGATGCTGGCGCGAACATCCTACCCACCCACCCGCAAGTTGTTCGCAAACCTTGGCTGGGCGACGGCGTCGACGACGACGGTGGCCATGATGATGCTGATGATGACGGTGGTGATGGTGGCAATGCTGACGGCGGCAATGCTGACGCTGGCGATGATGATGGAGATGGAGAGGACGGTGAGAAAGGGCGTGCGCGGAAATTTGACGAGGGCGACGGAATCGACGATGACGATGATGACGACCGGTGGTGATGATGATGACGACGGCAACGACGACCATGGCGATACCGAAGGCGATGTCAAGGATGACGCTGACGATTCAAGCTGATAATTCTGATGAGGATGATGAGGAAGTGCGCGCGCGCAGAAGGTCTGAATGCCTGAGATGCGTTGTTGAAAGACAAGTGGGTCTACAGGCATGTGTGGAGAGCGTTGCGTGGAAACGCTTAGAGCACCTTTGTTTCTGTAAGGGCTTCGATGTGTGCGCGCGCAGAGACGCACGACTGCGGCCCGCAAAAGATTGTATGACAACGTATGACAGGCGCATTAGGAGGGCTGAATGCTTTCGGCATGCACGCGCGTGTGGTCGGCATGCTCGAATAGTCGAAAACGTCTGATTGTCGTCTGACTTCAGTAGCCCCCATTGACGAACAAATGGCCTAGCAATAATTATTGTATTGGCACGGCTTAACACATGCCAGAGCATGAGCTTGGGCTGATGTTGACATGCGCGCGCGCAGGCGTGCGGCCAGCCTCTGTGTTGAAGCGACTCTTACACGACACGCTTATTAGATCAACGCACGCGCCCCGCAAAATAAGTTTGACATGGGTGAGGGGGGGGGACGATACTGGGACTGGTCGGCATGCTCTTATTTGATTGTTCGGACGTTCGATAGTGCAAAATAAGATGCGCAAACTTAGCATGCGGACAGGGGGCGATAAACCTGCAGGGAGGGGACGAGTTTCATTCTTATTACGACAGGCCATCTTTCCCTGTGAAAATTGTAATCGTGAATTCCTGTGCTCGAGCAAACGTCCCACCCTCACAACCGCAACTTGTTGGCAAGACTCAGCTGCCGTACTGACGCGATGTCTCATCTCATGCAAGCAAGTGTGGCTTTGCTGAAGAGGGCGTTGGCAACGACAATGACGATGACCATGTTGATGTTGATGGCGAAGGCGGGGACCATGTCAACGACGACCATGGAAATGGCGATGAGCCTGATGACGAGAATGACGTTGTCAGTGCTGACGCTGGCGAACGATGGTGCTGGTGAGGATGATGCGGACGAGCGCGCGCGCAGAGACTTTGACAATGGTGGCGCCGATGGTGATGGTGACGACGACGACGGTGTTGTAACGATGATTATGATGGTGATGATGACGGTGGTGATGATGATGCCAATGATGGCGACGGCAATGAAGTTGCTGACGATGATTGGAAACTGGTGTTGCTGAGAGCGATGAGAGGGTGCACGCGCAGAAACTCAAACTCAGAACACTCGCACGTCGTGTGGGACCGCCATCTCGATTTCGTGTTCTTTTTGTCCATCTCGATTTCGTATGTGGTTGGGGAGCTGTGGGATCGACATGCTTCACATCTCAGCTGGCGTAGTTAAGGGCGCGCGGCCCTCGTGGTGGTGGTGGTGCAGTCGGCGTTGGTGGCGACGACGATGGTGGCGGCGCTGAGACGGTTGGTGATGATGGCGATGGCAATGCTGACGCTGGCGATGATGACGGCGATGTGTTTGAACATCTGTTTGTTGGCATGCTGAGAACACCACGTTGGAGGAAGGGTTTCGAAACGCGATCGTGTGTGCCGCACGGTCGTCTTTTAAGCAGCGGGCGGGCGCGCTGTGCTATTTGGATGTGGTCGGCATGCGCGCGCGAGCGGCCCGCATGCTCTCTTACGAGCCTATGGCAAAGTACATGTGTGTTTCGATTCTGTCGGCGAGTGTGCGCACGCAAGATCGGGGTCGACTCGCCGCTGCCACGAGAGCGAACATCCCAGACAAACACCCGTCGTTGGATCGCCGGGTCGCCCAAGCTCAGCGCTTCGACCGCTGCGCGAAGCTAGCTCGGCTAGCTGTCGTTGCGCTCTGGCACTGTTCCCCCCCTGGGGGGGGCCAGCACTCTCGGGCCCAGACCGCGCAGCGCGCGAGAAGCTTCGCACACTTGCGGGTGAGCGTGGACGACCCAACCCTCGCCATCGCTCGGACGTCCATTCCCTGTGCTTTTTTCGGTTCCGTGCGTGGTCTTCGCGAAATGATCAAGGATGCTCCTCGATGGTCCTCGCCGAAAGAGAAATGCACACGTCCGAGCGATGCCAGGAACCATGCAGGGGGCCTGGTGCGGAAGGGGGGGAGGGGGAGGCGACTTCCCACTTGCCCCCCAGGCGCACCCCGAAGCCACCCGAGCCTGCCGCGCCTGAGCGGAGAAAAACCACCCAAGCCCCCGACGCGGCCCAGAGGGCTGAGGCCTGCCGCCGGGAGAGAAACGCAGTCGAAACGAACGAAGAATGCCCGGCCTGCAGCCGAGCGCCAGGAGGTGAGTCATGCACGGTCCTCAGCACACCACTGGGCCGTGGCACCACCCGGGATCATGGGAGAAGCGCTGCGACACATGTTCTGGGAAGCCATCGAAGGGGTCCGCAGACTCCGACGCCACGTGGCTCGCACCAAACCACGGTGCGATCATTGCAACACCGCGGTGGGATTCCAAATTGAGCAATGGTTGAATATTGCTTGCGCGAACGCGGCACTAGCATAAAGCGCTACGTAGGGCGCGCTGCTTCCAGCTAGGCTGGGGGCACCCTCTGAATTCGTACTTGTAAAACGTATGGCCAGCCTCAATTGACGTGGTCATGAAGAAGTGCGGGCGGCCAATTGCCAGCCTTCATGGCACGCCCCCAGCACCCGTGGTAGTCCTTGACGCTCTTGAAGGGGTGGAACGCAGCGTGGGACGTCTCGCACTTCTCCCAGTCCGGGTACTGGTGCCAGTCATCGCGCCAGCAGTCCTTCTCCGCTATGGTGTCGTAGTTGTTGATCATGTCTACCTCGAGCTGGTGGAAGCAGTTCTCAATGTACACGTCCTCCTACAGAGCAAAGCGCAACACATACTAGCGCAGCGACGGCAGGGTAACTCAAGACAGCCAATATCAACGTGGGCAAAAAGATCCCTCTTATCCTACTCCTCCTCCTCCTCCTCCGACTGTCCCTTCCGTCCAAGAGAAGGACCGATGAGCCGATGAGAGAGAAATGCTGTTCTGATTTAACTGAGGCTCGCGTCTCCCTGGCTCCTGCTCCGCTTGCCAGCAAGCGGATGCCCCGCCCAAGTACGTGTCGAACGCCCGGAGGTTTATGACTTCGAGGGGACCATGCATTCCGAGCTGGCAGTTGTTCAAGAAGGCACCGTTCTCCGAGACAGCGGTGACCGGATTGATGACACTAAGGATCCAGCGAAGACGTTCAGGGAAGAACACCGTGTCGGGGTCGGCCTTCACAACCCATCCGTAGTCCTTGTATGTACCCTCACTGCCAATCATCTCCCACAACTTGACAAACATGGGGGTGTTGAGCGAGGTATTGTACTCGCCGCCTCTCTCGGCATGGAGGTCCATGTCGATGAGTTTCGTCTTAAGATGGCCGAGCTTGACAACAGGGTTGCTGAACACCGCAAACCCGTCGCAAGCGAAGATGCCGAGCCGATGCTTGAGCTGCGCCTCCATCATTTCCTGGGCGCCCGTCTCTGGCGCCGTCGGTTCGAGACAGGCATCACGTAGCGGGGGGTTCCCCACCCCCTCCCCCTCCCCCTCCCCCTCCCCCTGCTCTCCGGGGGAGGAGTGGGGAGGGGAGGAAAGGGTGGACGGGGGAGAGAGAAGGGATCGGGGGAAAGCTGCCCCGAATCTCTGCTGGGCACCGCCAGCCTGTCGCCTCGCGCCTCGCGACGCGAGAAATGAGGGGCGCGAACAGCTCCAGGCTGGATGCCAGCACCCCCCATCTAACAGAAAACGCGGCACGGCAGCCTGGGGCCTGGCATCGCGAGAATCATTATATCGACATCGGCGGAGTTCAGAAGAGCGCCCTCAAGGGAACACGAGGGCTTCTGGCCCCTCGGAGGCCCCAAAGTCAGGATGAGACTGGCGCCCTTCCCAAAGCCCGGCCCCATCACCCCGAAGACGACGGCGCTATGCCAAAATGTCCGCCGGCGCACACGTGCACTCCTCCTCCTCCTCCTCCTCCTCCTTCTCCTGCTCCTCCTCCTCCTCCTCCTCTTCTTCCTCCTCCTCCTCCTCCTCCTCCTCCTCCTCCTCCCTCCTCGGCCGCGGGGCGCCCTGTTCGCATGGTTAAAAAAAGTGCATGCCGCCTCTTGGCAGAGATCAGCAGGTGTCGGCCGATTCTGCTTTCGCGCTCCGTGGCTCCGGCTCGTTCGTCCACGGCACCATGAGCGAGACGCAGTAGAGCGAGTCCTCGGGGGGGGCCTCGAAGCGCAGACACGCATTCTTGCTGCTGATCTTCTTGGAAGCGTTGATCGGCAACGTCCACATCTCGCAGGTGCCGGCCTTCCCATCATAGTTGACGCCCTTGCACTTTGCACCGTAGTGTGCGCAACGAGCCTGACATGCGTAGAGAGTCTTATCGCCAGAGTGCACCTTCGAGTGCTCCAGAGTGTCGTCGTCGTTTTTGTCAAGAGCGCACTCGTGGTACAGCCCTTCCTTCTGCGGCATGAAGCCTGAAGGTTCCTTGCGCAAGCAAAGATGATCTGTCCCATTCTTGCTTCCAACCACAGGTTTGATCCAAATCTGGCACGTGCGCGAACTTTTGTCGTAGTCCACTCCTAAGCACTCAGCGGCGACATGGCAACGGGCCTTACACTCATACAGTGAATGCACTTTGTGCTCAACGTAATGCTTGCCACTCTCAGCTTTGACGTTCTTGGCAACTGCACATGCTCGGTCTACGCCACCTGACATCGGCTTGAAGCCATGCGGCAGATACCGAAAACACTGCTTGCCTTCCTCTGCGTCACTGCCACTGATCGGCTTCGTCCAGACCTCGCAGAGGTGATCTTTCTCGATGTAGCCGAGGCCCGTGCAGCGGAAGCTTTTCTTACAGAGGTCCTCGGGCTTAGTATTTGTAATGTCTGTTTTCACTGGGGGGGGGGCGGGGGAAGAAGAGGCGGCAGGATGATAAACATGATGAAGAAACGAAGAGGGCAGAAGAGGAGAACGAGGAAGATCCAGGGAAGGAGGGGGACAACAAGGAAACAATGCCGCGAGAGCTGTACACTTCCCAACACTTCATCATCCTTCTAGGGGGCAGGGGGGAACACGAGCGTGTAACAGAGGATGTGTCTATAGCCTGAGAAAGAGAGAGAGAGAGAGGTGAGTGTGTATATACAAGGAGAGAGAGAGAGAGAGAAAGGGAGAACGAGAGGGGGGAGAGAGAGAGAGAGAGAGAGACACAAAAAAACAAATGTCCTGGCAACTTTCGAGGGACGCGACCAAATGGTGGATCCTATACGGGTTGTCCCACTCGCCATGCGGCCCGTGGCACGACTGGCCATCGCCTCCGTTGACGGGGTCGAAGCCCTCGTCCCACAAGTGCGTCGACGGGGATGCTGTCGCAGCCGTCACGTCTGCTTTCGGAGCTGGCAGTGACTCTTCACCTCGGCATCTGGACGATCGGGCCGAATCCACATCGCCCACCCCAATATACGCCACCACATCTGTTTCACGACACAGGGACCCGATCGTGCGAACCGTCAGCGCTGGAGGCCGATGATCAGGTTTCTGTGGTTTGCAAGGCTGCCCTCCCCTCCTCCTCCTCCTCCTCCTCCTCCTCCTCCTCCTCCTCCTCCTCCTCCTCCTCCTCTCCTCCTCTCCTCCTCCTCCCTCCTCCATCTCCTCCTCCTCCTCCTCCTCCTCCTCCTCCGCCTCCTCCTCCTCCTCCTTCTCCTCTTCCGCCTCCTCCTCCGCCTCCTCGCTCCTCCTCCTCGCTCCTCCTCTCCGCCTCTAGAGAGCGCGTGCCACAAGACATGCCCCAAAGAGGACGGAAAAGAACGCATGGCCTAGCAGCCTCGTTCCATGTGAACGTTTTCTTCTTCGGCGAATTTCGTTATTGGGCGGAAGGGGGGAGAGAGGGTGGGTCTGGCTCCGGAGCTCTGCTCAGTGCGACTGTTTGCAGCAGTGCGTCCCTACGGGGGAGACTCCACCTGCTTGAAGCAGGCACCAAGAAACAGCCAAGATCCACTCCATGGAGGAGGGAGGGGGGGGGGCGAGGGCCCGCGCCAATCGGCGAAGAAATGCATAAGAAAACGATCACCATCCGATGCTGTTTTTTTTCCGGCGTGGCCCCAATCGGGGACCTTTGACTCGGGTCAATCCAGACCCGGGTCAGTCAGGCCTTGCAGGATCCTGCAGGATCCTGCACCCAAGCCCGGGGCAATGCGCCCCTGGCTCTGCAGGATCCTGCAAGATCCGGCACTGTGGCTGACCCCCGTTTGCATTGACCCCCGTCCCTTAAGCCCCGACCCCAAACCTTTCGATCCCAATCCCGGGGCCGTGCTCCTCGTCCCGAACAGCTGTTTGGCTGCTGGGGTGCCCGACGCAGGCTCCGGCTGTGGGAGAGCGAGATGCGCGCACCGCAGGGCGTCTCGAGGTTTTGGAGGTCCCTGAGAGTGCTCTGAAGGCCCAGGTGACACCTGAACGCATAAAGTCGAAAGCCCGATCACCCTCCTCCTCCTCCTCCTCCTCCTCCTCCTCCTCCTCCTCCTCCTCCTCCTCACTCCTCACCTTTCACTCCTCACTCTTCACTCCTCCTCCTCCTCCTCCTCCTCCTCCTCCTCCTCCTCTTCCTCCTCCTCCTCCTCCTCCTCCTCCTCCTCACCACCACCACCACCACCACCACCATCATCATCATCATCATCATCATCAACAGCATTATTATCATCATCATCATCATCATCATCATCATCATCATCATCATCATCGTCATCATCATCATCATCATCATCATCATCATCATCATCATCATCATCATCATCATCATCACAATCATCACAATCATCACCATCATCACCATCATCACCATCACCATCACCATCACCATCATCATCATCATCATCATCCTCATCATCATCATCAACAGCAACATCATCATCATGATCATGATCATCATCATCATCATCATCATCATCATCATCATCATCATCATCATCGTCCTCGTCATCATCATCATCATCATCATCATCATCATCATCATCAGCAGCAGCAGCAGCAGCAGCATCAGCATCGGCATCCTCGTCTTATTTTTTGCAGACGGCTCAACAACGCGGCGAGTTGGGAGGGGCCCGCGTAGCTGTAGGCCCCAGCGCACGAGGATGCACACCTTGGTGCGGGAAGGCGCGGTCGAAACACTTTTTCGTCAGCGGCGAGGCGGCGAACTCCGCTCCAGCGAGAAGCTAGAAAGGGGCACTGACCAGCAAATTGGCCGGCGGGCAAAGAGAGGGGAGGGGGAGACGGCCGAGGGAAAGAAGGGACGCTCAGGCGCCGAAGAGTTCGACAACGAGCAGCCGGGGGGGGGAGGCGCGGTCGAAACACGCGACGGAAGCGTCGCCGCCGACAAGGTCGGGCGGCGAAACAGGGCGAATCCCTGCGTTGACAGCGCCATCCGCGAGCTCAGGGACGAGCTCCAGCGGCTGCAGAGGAGAACGAGGGCAGCAATCAGCGCCGACACCGAGCCCTTCGCGCCCTGCGCCATGATGCAGGTCTTCTCCTCCTCGTCCTCCTCCTCCTCCTCCTCCTCCTCCTCCTCCTCCTCCTCCTCCTCCTCCTCCTCCTCCTCCTCCTCCTCCTCCTCCTCCTCCTCCTCCTCCTCCCACTCCTCCTCCTCCTCCTCCTCCACCACCACCTCCTCCTCCTGCTGTTACTGCTTCTCCTCCTCCTTCTAGTCTGCCCGTTCGTCCTGGCGCCAGAAACCGTAAAGCCGTGGTGGGGCGGGCAGCAGACGCAAGCGCACGTGGAGGAGGGCTCTGGTCTGCCTGAGCACGGCGGGCAGTGGCGCAGCTCACGAGGAGCAAAGGCAGCGTCACGAGCCGGAGTGTCCTCGGGTCCTTTTGAGCCCTCTTGGTGGAGTTCTGTGAATCTTATGTCAGGGGTTTCGGGACAAATTCCAACATCTTGCGGGCGCTCTTGGGCCGAATGGATTCTCCGGCGTCCAGAAAGGCACAAGACGGGCCAAGAGGGTCCCAAGACGCGCCCAAGAGGGCCCAAGATGGCCCCGCGTCGCCCGAAGAGCGCCCCAAGACTCCCAAGATGGCCCCAAGAAGGCTGAAGAGGCCCCCAAGACGCCACAAGAGGGCTCCAAGAGGGCCCCGAGATGCGAACACCGTAGATTTCCCTGAGTGTTTGAAGGACTTGAGTGTTCTCTCCGTTTTGGGCTCACGACGCTCCAGGCACGATGTTGGCGCGAAGGGGCCCGTGCAGTACCTCCTGGCGGTTCCCCCTTGGAGTGCTGAATCCAGCGCCTCGCCGGAGACATCCTCGCAATCTGCGTGCGCGGGTGATGCTGAGCATGAGTAGATCGGAGTGTGAAGCGACGGCTCGTGTCAGTTAGTCTGGGTATGAGCGAGTCTTACAATTCGTGAGTCTTCGTGCGAGGGAGTCTGAGTGTGAATGAGCCAGGGTGTGAATGAGTCTGAGCATGAGCGAGCCTGGTGAGTTTGAATACGAGTGTGCCTGAATATGGATTAATCTGGTGTGAGTAAATCTGAGTATGAGTGAGTCTGAGTACGAGGGAGTATGAGTGAGTCTGAGTACGAGTGAGTCTGAGTATGAGTGAGTAGAGTGAGCCGAGCGAGTCTGAAGGGCTCCTTCAGTCTGAGAGGCTTCTTCAGAGCCTCGCAGACTGGCGACGACCCCGACGACCCCTCACTCGCAACTGCGGGGCCTGTGGTATTTACAGACGTGGCAACCGCAATGCAACTACGGGACAACCACGGGACAACCCCAGCACATCCACGGTGCAACCGCAAGACAACCACGGGACAACTGGAGACAACCAGGGGACAACCATAGGACAACCGCGGGACAACCATAGGAAGGGCGCGGGACAACCCCCCCGCCCCAGGCCCATCTAGGGCAGGAACTCACGCAGCTTCGCACTGCCTCGCCCGCATGCGGGGCTCGCACGACACGAGCCGAAACCGAAACCGATGTCTTGATTAGGGGACTCCGTCTCACTCAGTCGCACTCACCCAACCGATTGGTCGAACTATGTACATATATATATATATGTAGATCTATGTGTATATAAGAGAGAGAGAGAGAGAGAGAGAGAGCGTGATCCACCGCCGCGTTACTGTGGAAAATTGCCAACCTGTTCCTCCAGAGCCCGGGGGTCGCCCCCCCCCCCCCCCGAAAATGCCCCCCCCCCCCTGCTGGAACCCCTCCCTCCCCCCCCCCCTCTCCCCCGGCAAAACCCCCCCCTCCCCTAACCCCCCCCCCCCCCCCCCTTCCCGCTCGAAAACCGGGGGGGGTCACTACCGGTTCGAATCCCCTCCCCCCCCCCCCCCCCCTCCGGATCCGGAAAACCGGGGGGGGTCACTACCGGTTCGAACCCCCCGCCCCCCCAACCCTTCGGATCCGAAACCAGAGGGGGTCACTACCGGTTCGAAACCCCCCCCCCCCCCCCCCCCCCCCCCTACTCACCGCCAGCAAACGACTCCCGGTCCCCACCACCGTCCGCATCACATCCCCCACTGGTGTTCCCAGCACCACTGTCCTCACCACCACTGTCCCCACTGGTTCCACCACCGCCCCTACTGTCCCCACCAGTGCCCCACCACTGTCGCACTGTCCCCGCTGTCCCCAGAACTGTTCCCACCACGGTTCCACTCTCCCCACTGTCTCCACGGCCCCAACCACTGCCCGACTATCCCCACTGTCCCCACTGTCCCACTGACTCCTCCGCTGTCCCACTGAGCTGTCCCACTGTTCCCACCACTCCCCACTGTCCCCACCACTGTCCCCACTGTACCTTTGTCCCATTGTCCCACCGCCGTCCTCGCCACCGCCTTCACCACTGTCCCCACCACCATTGTACCCTCCACTGTCCCACTGTTTCCACCTCATTCCCATTGTCCCCACACCACTGTCCCCACCACCACCGTCACCACCACTGTCCACTGTCCCCCCCTGTTCCCACCATTGTCCCCACCACTGTCCCCACCACTACCGTCCCCACCACTGTCCCACTGTCCCACTGTCCCCACCACTGTCCCGCTATCCCCTCACCACTGTCCCCACCAACACCGTCCCCATGTCCCCCCCCACCGGTTTTCGAGGGGGGGGGGGGTTCGAACCGGTAGTGACCCCCCCGGGTTTTCGAGGAGGGGGGGGGGGAGGGGGTTCGAACCGGTAGTGACCCCCCCCCTTTTCATGATGAACTGGGGGGGGGGGGAGGGGTTCGAACCGGTAGTGACCCCCCCCCGGTTTTCCGGAGGGGGGGGGGGGGAGGGGTTCGAACCGGTAGTGACCCCCCCCGGTTTTCTGCCAGCAGCGGTAGAACACGCTCTTTCGTATATGTGTATATATATATATATATGTAGGTACAGGCGGCGAACACGGGACAATTCCAGCACACACACACACACACACATTACACAAACACACGGGACAACAAAAGGACAACCACAGGACAGCCACGAGACAACCACGGGACAACAACCACGGGACAACCCCGACAACCACGCGACAACAACGTGACAACCACCAAGACAACCACTGAAAAACTACGGGGCAACCACAGAATAATCAGAAAACAACCGCTGGACAACCGCGCGACGACAACGTCACAAATAATCATGAGACAACCACGGGACAAGCGACAAACACGGGACAATCACGGGAAATCCCTAAGATAACAACGGGGTAACTATAATATAACTACAGAACAAACAGTCGGGAAACATCCGCGCGACGACCGCATCACACAACAACCAACCACAAAACAACCACGGCACAACCACAGGACAACCACGGGAAACTCACATGACAATCGCGAGGAAACCAAAAAGAACGAGCAAAGAACAACCACTCGGCAAAAACGCGACAACCACGGGACAACCGCGGGACAAACGCGGAATAATCCCGTGCAGCGGGCCAGGACGCGACTCCTTCTGGAGTGACCTGGGCCTAGCTCGTGCAGGAACTCGCGCAGCTGCGCCTCGCCCGCACGCGCGTCCGAATTCCCGAGTGGGGGCCCAGGTTCCACTTCGGTATCACCCCCCAGCCTCCGAAGTGCACGTGCGAGAAGGACGGAGAGTGGCAGCGTCAAGAGGGCGGAACCGCTGAACGCGAGAAGGACGGGCAGTGCCAGCCTCAAGAGGAAGCATGCAGTGCGCGCAAGACGGCGCATTAGTAGCAGCCTCGAGAGGTCGGGCAATTGCAGCCTCGGGAAGATGGCTCCCGCGCGTGAGCAGACTGAGCCCAACGCCATCAGCTACAGTGAAAAAACACATCCACAAAACGCGCGTTAGCATGGCCATGTGGGCCGCGCGGGCGGTCGTCGCCAGAGCGTGGGACGCAGCTGCGTGGAGTGGGACGGAGCGAGACGCAGCGGCACCAAGTGGCAGAGGCGAAAATGAAGCTCGACGCCACCGATTGTCGCGCGAACCCCGCGAGCAGCGCGTGCGCGAAGGCAAACCAGAGGCCCTGCGGGATGGAGGCGGACACGAAGCCCAGTGCCGCCAGCTGCAGCGTGGAGCCCCGGCACCGGCGGCCGCTGAACCAAGAAGTCGGGAAGGGACGGGCGGCCCGTGTGCACAGCCGCCGGGTGCAGGGGGATACCGTCGGGGCGTTGACCTAAGGAACCTTAAATGAGGAACGGGGCCCCTTTCTCCCATACGTTGAACTTCGATTTCCCATGGAAAACCTCAGGAAAACTGGAGACAAATTGCAGAATCAAGGAACGCCGAGCCCCTCTCCAACGAAAAAGGTTCCTTCTTCAGGGCCCCGACTGCACCCCGCCTCGGTGACCAGGCACTCGAGGCAGTGATGGCGCCCCCCGCGGCGCCTCCGCGGCGAGAGCAGCGGCCGCGGCGTCGCCGCGCGGCGAGGGGCGGAGTGGCAGCCCGCGCCGGCGGCGGCAGGAGCGGCGGCGCGGCAGCCCCCCTCCGCGGGCGGCCCGCCGAGAGCGGAGGCACGCCCCCGGGGGGAAATGGGGGCACGCCGCGGGCGGCCGGAGGCCCCACGCCTCGCGCGGCCCCCTGAGAAGGGGGGGCGCGCGCGGAGGAGGAGCACGTCGTGCGGAGAAAGCGTGGAGGCGCGCGCACACACACACACACACCACACACACACACGCATACACACACACAACACACCACACACACACACAAGCATACACGCAACACACACACACACACAACACACATACACACAACACACAACACAACACACACACACACACGCACACACTCTCGTGTGCCCCAATGTGATGGAAAACATATTCGTCCAAGTTCTGCATGCTCGGAATTGCAACCCACATCCGGTCGATCCTCATCCTCCTCCCTCCTCCGCCGTCTCATTCCCCTCCCTGCTCCTACTCCCTGCTCCTCATCCTCCTCCTCTTCCGCGCCCTCAGGGGCGGAGTAGAGGAAATGAGCCCCCTCCCCACCCTCACGACCCATCCCCACTCTCGAGGGCCGCGACGCCCGGCCGCGACCGACGGCCGCTGCGATCCGCGCCGCGACCCTGGAGTCCACAGATCGGCGGTCGGCAGGCGCTTGGCGCGCGACTGGCGCGGCCATCAGGCGGCGCCTGCTGGGAGCCCAGGGGGAGTGGAGGGCGGAGGAGGAGGGAAGGGGGGATGGAGGGCACAGAACGAGGGCATGTCAGCACCACCAGGTGGCAGACCGAGCCAGCTGGGACCATCGTGATTGACAAGATTCCCTCAAGGACAGCAACCGTCGATCTGATTGAAGCGTTAACGGCCCGTGCTCCCGCAGTGGGCGGCAGTGCGTAGTGGGTAGGTGGCATATTGTGTTTCGATTCGCGTCGTGGCTTGCCGCACACCTGCACCGTACATCCTGTCCATTACCCATCCTCGCCCGTGGTCGTATATGCGCAATTCTCGCTTCACCTATACCAGTCATGTTGTGCCGTCACATCGACGGCGCCTCGGGCGCCACGCGCGTGGTTCAGCAAGGTCTGCTGCTGAAAAGGACCCTTCCCCTTGTGGAGGAGGGGAAGCGGCGGCTTGAGGGCCTCCTCCGCATCATCATCCCCCTCCCGCCGCGCACGCGCACGCGTGAAACGCGCAGGAGGAGGAGGAGGAGGAGGAGGACCAGTGGAAACCCAAGAGTCATCAACGATGTTGGACATAACCCTCCCTCCAAGCTCCCTTTTCATAGGCCCCCCCAACTCTTCACTTCCATTGAGGGAACCGCCTCTATGGAAGTCCACAGTTTGGAGATCCTGAAGCGTGCCAGAGCATTGTTCTCTGGTTTTCAACGCCACGTATCAACCTGACTGCTGCGCCTTGGCGAACCGTGCCAGAACGCCATTTCCGGGACTTCAACACAGCGAATCCACATAAGGGCTGCGCCCGCGTAATCCTGAATCCTTCCAAGACGCGATCGCTGGTACGTTGATCATGGGAACCCGTCACACTCTTGCAAACTTCAAAAACGAATGTGCGCGGCGCCAAGGCGAGAGCCATAGTTTGAAAACCACCCGCCCTCAATCCGTGAAGCCCTTGCAGATTTTTAAAATGAGAGTGCGCGGCGCTCAGGCGAGAGCCACATTTTGAAAACCACCCGCCCTCAACCCGTGAAACTCTTGCAAATGTTTAAAGCGAGAGTGCGCGGCGCTCAGGCGACAGCCACATTTTGAAAACGACCCGCCCTCAATCCGTGAACTTCTTGCAAATGTTCAGAACGAATGTGCGCGGCGCTAAGGCGAAGGCCACATTAAAAAAACGACCCGCCCTCAATCCGTGAACTTCTTGCAAATTCTTTAAAACGAATGTGCGCGGTGCTTAGGCGAGAACCACATTTTGAACATGTCCTGCCCTCAATCCGTGAAGCTCTTGCAAATGTTGAAAAAGAATGTGCGCGGCGCTGAGGCGAGAGCCACATCTTGAAAACAACCTGTCCTCAATCCGCGAAGCTCTTGCAAATGTTGAAAAAGAATGTGACGGGCGCTAAAGCGAGAACCACATTTTGAAAATCACCCGCCCTTCATCCGTGAAGCTCTTGTAAATGCTAAAAAAGAATGTGCGCGGCGCTGAGGCGAGAACCACAGTTTGAAAACCACCCGCCCTCAATCCGTGAAGCCCTTGCAAATATTTAAAAACGAATGTGCGCGGCGCTGAGGCGAGAGCCACATTTTGAACCACACGCCCTCCATATGTGAACCTGTTGTCACTTCTTAAGCTTCAGAATTATAAATGCTCAGGAAGTCTCAGGCGAAACGCCCGGCCTGCCCTAAAAACTAGCCTCGCGGTGCGACAGGGAGGAGTTATCTACAAGGAGAAGGAATGGAAGATGACAGGAGTAAAGATGAGCCGAAGAAGGGAAAGCAAGAGGAGGACGGGAGGAGAAGGAGCAACAGAAGGGGGAGGGGGGAGGAGACGCGATCGAATTACTGGCAACATCAGCACGCGGAACAGGAACAGGGCAACGAGGATTGGGAAGAGAATGAGACGTGGAGTGACGCCAACCGACAGGGGAGGGGACCGGACGCAAAATTGGAGGAAAAAGAAAAAGCTGACGTCCGTCACTCACGACTCAGACCCCCACGGCCGCCAGAGTCCCAAATAAGGAAACGGCAAGGAGGAAGAGAATTTGAAATCGCAAACAAACGCAGCGAGCGTGAAGGCTGCAGTAGGCGTAATTAAACGCTTGCGTTTTTACCCTCGCTGTCGCTTCGAAGGCTGCACCACCACCACCACCAGAGGCGAAATGTGGCGGGTGCACGGATCCCGCCCTCTTCCGGTCAGGGCCATCGGACAATAAAGTGGCGTCCCTGGGCCATCGAAAGGACTTAGTGTACCGACCGTGAAGGTGCACCCGTAGTAGAGCGGCCAGGCCATACGTGCTCACACTGCACCCCACCATGGCCCAACCAGGCGTTCTAGGGCACGATGTAAGATCTTGCCCCGACGTCGAATACGGCGCCGTCCGCATGCTCCTTCCCTTTGTCGCAATCGCGGGTGGGAGGTCCCCGGAAAGCCGCGCGGGCGCTTCCATGCCATGTACGCACATAACGCTGTAATGTCAAAGACGCTCGGGATGGCACGTGACCTACACCCGCGATCATGACTCATCGTCAACGGCCACTTGGCCATGGTGGAGGCTCAGTCAGCGCCAACCGCTCGTAGACAGGCGCCACAGCCCAACGACGGTCCCCGTCCACCGTGGGGAGTGCAGCATTGAGGGCCAGCCCCGCCGAAGCACCGCGTATACGCAGTCTATGGTGCTCGTGCAGACTCGGTGAAGCCAATCAGAGAGCCCAGGGATGCGCCCAGCTTGCCCGCTCTCCGCGGTAGTAGCTTCAGAGCGACCAGGCGCGACCCGGCGCGCACGTGCCTGCATCACGAAAGCCCGGTGCGCTGGCCGACCGTCATCTGTTGTGGCATGCGTCCCGTGAGATAAGGCCAATATTGTACGGCGACTTTGTGGCTCGACCTAATACTGGAAGTCTGTGCGGCACGGCAATATGCCATTTTGAATATGTAATTGTATTACGTGGCCGCTGCTGCTGCTTCACAACCGACGATGCCAACACCAGCAGAAGCCACTGCCGTGAATGCATCAAACGCTCGCATCACGCTACCATGGCGCCTATGCTGGGACTGGTGTGTGTGTGTGTGTGTGTGTGTGCGTGTGCGTGTGCGTGTGCGTCTGCATGTGCGTGTGCGTGTGCGTGTGCGTGTGCGTGTGAGTCTGCGTGTGCGTGTGCGTGTGCGTGTGCGTGTGCGTGCGTGTGCGGGTGCGGATGCGGGTGCGGGTGCGGGTGCGGGTGCGGGTGCGGGTACGGGTGCGGGTGCGCGTGCGCGTGCGCGTGCGCGTGAGCGTGCGCGTGCGCGTGCGCGTGCGCGTGCGCGTGCGCGTGCGCGTGCGCGTGAGCGTGAGCGTGCGCGTGAGCGTGCGCGTGCGCGTGTGCGCGCGCGTGCGCGTGCGCGTGCGTGCGCGCGTGCGTGCGTGTGTGTGGGTGTGTGTGGGGGGGGGGGGCGTGCACGCTGGAACCCCGCAGAAGACAGACGGGCCTCGAAGGGTCACCGTCGGAATCGGGCGATGGCCACGAGCCCCCGCGCAACCTGGCGGCCCCTCTTGGGTGCCATGGTCATTCGGCGTTGTGCCGAGTGATGGGCCTACAAGAGCCCTTCCGAAAATCCTAGGGTGGAGAAGCCCCTAGGCACATTGGCCAGAGAGGTCAACATGGGAGAAAATCGGAAACCAAGCAAAAACCCACGCAGGCACAGGTGCCAGCCCAGGCAACGGGACCTCAGGACCCCCGGAGAAACGGCCGCCCGAGACCCGGGACGACCAGGACCGACAGGCCACGCCCCCTACCCAGAGCGCGTTTCTTTATATTCGGCGATGACGGGCGTCATGGGGGAGGGGGGGGGTGGGGGGGCGAGCGGGGGTATGACGTAACGCCCCCCCCGCCGTCTGGTTCCGGCACCGCAGCCGCGCCCGCGGGCGCGACGCGACGAGCGACGAGCGACGAGCGACGAGGACGACGACGACGACGACCACGACGACGACAATCACGACGACGACGACAACGACGACGACGACGTCGACGACGTCGACGACGCGAGCAGCATGTAGGTGGCGATATACCCCACTGCGCCTGTGTACACCACAACGCTCGCGTGCACCACAGCGCGCGTGTATACCACAGCGCCTGCGTACACCGCAACAACCGTGCGCAACGCAGCGCCTGTGTACACCAAGATGCTTGCGTGTACTACAGCGCCGGCGTAAAATTGCACGACGCAGCTATCATGTGCAACGCAGCGCCTGTGTACACCACAATGCTTGCGTGCACCGCAGCGCCTGTGCACGCCACAGCGCGCGTCTACACCGCAGCATCCGCGTGCAACGCAGCGCTGGTGTACACCACAATGCCTGCGTCCATAGGACAGGTAGAAGGAGCATGTACGCGAGGATCTGTTGCGGACAACTTGGCGCCACGCCAGGAAATTGCTGATAATCGAATGCGACGTTCTGCCCTCCTCCCTCCTCCTCCTCCTCCTCCTCCTCCTCCTCCTCCTCCTCCACCTCGTCCTCCTCCTCCTCCTCCTTACCCCCTGTCGTGCAGGTTGGCGCCACAGCGCACGTGCGCATCTCAGCGCGCACCGCAAAATGGTCTATTGAATCGGTCCACTTGGTTCTCGGACGGCCAATTTAGCTGAAACCTTCTGGACGCAAAGGGAGGAGTTAGGGTGGTGCGGGCGGACTCGGGGGGACACCTAGATTCCAGCGGCGCTCCGTCGTCCATAAGGATTAGTCTAGATTGTTTTCTGTGGAATCCACAAGCGCCCCATTTTGTCAACAGGATTCGTTCTCGCATTCTATATACAACATTGGTGCTGTGTTGCACACGGTTGCTGTGGTGCACACAGGCGCCGTTGTGTACACAGGCACTGTAATGCGCGCAAGCATTGTGGTGTATACTGGTACTGTGTTGCACACGGCTGATGTGGTGAACGCAAACGCTGTGGTGTGCACAAGAGCTGTTGTGCCCGCAGGCACGGTGGCAGAAACTGACGCTGTGTTGCACGCGGTTGCTGTTGTGTACATAGGTGGTGGTGTACACTGGCGCTGTGGTGCACGCAGGCACTGTGGTGTACACAAGGCTTGTGTACACCACAGTGCCTGCGTTGCACCACAACGCTTGAAGCGTTGTGGTGAAAATCGCCACCTACATGCTGGCGCTACCCGTCTTCCGTCATTCCTAGGCATTCCAAAACGCCGCCGGCGCGAAACGTGACGTCATCGACCCCCTCCACCCCCCTAGATGATTGCCGTCATTGGCCCGGAATAAAAAAACAGGCTTAAGCCGCGTCCGCGCGCATGACGACTATGAGCGACGAGTGACAAGCCACGAGCGACGACGACGACGACGACGACGACGACGACGACGACGACGACGACGACGACGACGACGACTGCGGACCAGACTCCTATGTGGATTCCTACGCGGACACCTACGCGGATCGCAATGCGCACAGCGGCAGTGCTCGGAGCGCACCGGGGGGCAGTGCCCGGAGCGCACTGGAGGGGGGAGCGTTACGTCATGGAGGGGGGGGGGGGCGGGGGCCATGACGCCCGTCATGCCCCAAGCAATACAGAAACGGGCTCCCACAGGCCCCCAGAGGCCGCGAGAGGCACCGCCGAAGCTGGCACCCGTGCTGGGATGCAATCCTGCCAGGAGGAGGAGGAGGAGGAGAAGGAGGAGGAGAAGGAGGAGGAGGAGGAGCAGGAGGAGGAGCAGGAGCAGGAGCAGGAGCAGGAGCAGGAGCAGGAGGAGGAGGAGGAGGAGGAGGAGAGCGCTCCTGCACAGTCGCGCGGGAGCCGCCTGGACGCTCGGGACACGTGGGCCCTGCAGTGACGGCAGACCACGGAAGCAGCCCGTGCGACAAGCTCGGGCGGCCCCTGTCGGCGACGGACGCAGCAGGGGCACTACAGTGGAGGCCAGTCCACAAGAAGCCTTCCACAAGAAACCCAACCCTGAGACCCCAGGACGTCCACTGATTCTTGGTGTGGGAACGTCACGCTTTCCATCGCAAAACCCTCGAAACCCAAGAAACCCAGGGCGCTCTGGAAGCAAGCAGGGTGTTTCGTGGCATGTGTCTCCACTGCAGGAGCAGAACCGCCATCGAGCATCGCCGCTCCGCTCCTCCACAAGTCCGGCCCATCCCGACCAGGACCGGCGTTGGGAGGAGCAGGCGGGATGGAGGAAGACGTTGCTTTCACAAGCTCCGCGCGACTACTCGGCACGGGCGAATCGGCCGTAGCTGCAGCGGATGGCTCAGGCCTAGCAGGGCGACTCACAGAGGCACTGCCGTCCACCACCGCGCACGCAAATATCCTCGAACGCTGATCTTAGGGAGACCGACAGGTACCGATACCGCTACTCCCCGGACCTCTCCTGGAGTGCGTTCTGACCAGGATTGCGAGGCGAATCCAACGGTGGCGACGAGGGCCTCCCAGGAGGTCCAAGATGGGAAAAACCAGGCCAAGGGCAGCGGTGTGGGTCCATGGGTTCCTTTACCTCCCCTGAGATCTTGGGCTCTGCATCGGAACCTCCTCGGCGCCAAGCGCAGGTGAACCTTCGCCTCGCTCCACCGGCTCCCGCGGCCTGCCCCACCGCTGCTTCTGCCCCCGGACCCGCCCCTCCCGCGCACGCGGGTCGCCGGCCGTGCCCGCTCGGGGCCAAGAGCGCAGAAAGAGGAGCGGGTCGGCGCGCGACGGCCGCGCAGCCTGCCTGGTGCCCTCTGCCGGACGTGGCCCGTCGCCCTCTGCCGCCGTGGGATGCGCCTGCCTGCGCGGCGCCAGCCGCGCCTGGCGCTGCGGCAGGCGACCACCGCGGCGCTTCCGCGGCGCCCGAGCCAGCGCGAGAGGCTGGGCCCGCCACTCGGGGACGACGTGTGTGCGGGTGTTTCGCTTGGCCGCGCCGCCCGCCCGGGGAGCGACCCGTCCTCCCTGAGTCGCTCGCCCCGTCCGCCCCTCCTTGGGCCGCGCCCTCCTCCTGCACGGCGGCACGGTTCGCTCTCACGACATTCCCCGCTTGGGCATCCATCGCAAGCGGGGGCGTCCCATTTGCCCAGCCGCCGACGCAACAAAAAGCGTGAATGGGTGTCGCGCCTCGGTCGGTCTTGCTTATGCTCCATGCTGCCTGACATTCGGCTCCTTCCCTCCTCTATCTGTCGCTCTGTCTATCTGTCTATCTGCCTGTCTCTGTCTCTGTCTCTGTCTCTGTCTCTGTCTCTGCTTCTGTGTCTGTCTGTGTGTCTGTGTGTCTGTGTGTCTGTGTGTCTGTGTGTCTGTGGTGTCTGTGTGTCTGTGTGTGTGTCTGTGTGTGTCTGTGTGTGTCTGTGTGTGTGTGTGTCTGTGTGTGTCTGTCTGTCTGTCTGTCTGTGTGTCTGTCTGTCTGTCTGTCTGTCTGTCTGTCTGTCTGTCTGTCTGTCTGTCTGTCTGTCTGTCTGTCTGTCTGTCTGTCTGTCTGTCTGTCTGTCTGTCTGTCTGTCTCTCTTTGTATATCTATGCATCTATAACATATAAATATATATATATATATATATATATATATATATATATATATATATATAGTCAAACACGCTTTCCCCCCAAAGTAAGCCACTGGACTGCGATGCGGAGACTCAGTCCGACTGGGTTCAGCGGCGTACTAAGCACGAGCGCGCAGCCAAGAGAAAGTGACCGGGGCAAAATCGGTCTGCGCTCCACGAAAAGGATATCCAGCCCAAGTCCGAGAAGCGGGGTAGAAAGGTGGACGCCGACGTCGAACACCGGCAAAGAGTCTGAACGCGACGCACTGAGAATCCCTGTGCCCTGGGTCGCACCAAAGCAAGCGTGAGGGACGCAGTCGGAGAGTGGTAGCGTCAGTCAGATGCAGCAAAGTCCGAAAGGAGCAAGCTGGGAAAGAAACCAACACACACTCACACACTCGCACACACCGCAACGCGGCTAACGTGCTTCACCTTGCCGCTCCAGTTTGCAGAGGGGCCGCCGTCCGCGCGAAAACGATTCGCGCGAAAACTGCTGCCGTTCGAAAAAAATTCGCTGGGCGCGTGCGCGCGAAAAGGTGCGCGCCGGTTCCCGGCGCTCCCGCGCGCCCCGCGGCTGCCGGGAACCAGAATTTTACAACGCGGCGACCGCCGCGGCGGCCGCCGCGGCGGCCGCCGCCTCCGCGGCGCAAGGCGGCGTCGATGCCAGGGGCCCACGGCGGCCCAGAGGAGGGCGGGAACCAGGATTTTGGAGAGATCGAGGCTGGAAGAGCCCAAATTCCCGGTTCCCGGCTCTGTCTGGCGCCCCAGGGACCCACAGCGGCCCAGAGGGGGGCGGGGACTAGGATTTTGGAGAGATCGAAGCTGGAAAAGCCCAAATTCCTGGTTCCCTGCTCTGTCTGGCGCCCCAAGAACTCACAACGGACCAAAAGATGGCGGGAACCAGGATTTGGGAGAGATCGAAGCTGGAAAAGCCCAAATTCCCGGTTCCCGGCTCTGTCTGGCGCCCCAAGGACCCACGGTGGCCCAGAGGATGGCAGGAACCAAACTTTTGGAGAGATCGAGGCTGGAAAAGCCCGGAATCCCGGTTCCCGGCTCTGTCTGGCGCCCTAGGGACCCACGGCGGCCCAGAGGAGGGCGGGAACCAGGATTTTGGAAAGATCGAGGCTGGAAAAGCCTAAATTCCCGATTCCCGGCTCTGTCTGGCGCCCCCGCGGGAACTCCCGTAAATCCCCTCTCGCTCTGGAGATTCTTCGACGTCAACAGCCACCAGGAAACATTGATGGAAGCTCCAAGCGGGGATCACGGGCGGGAGGTTCCTGTCCTCTCCTCTGAAGCCATTGGAAACTCCCTGCAATCAGAGTCACCACGGTGCACGAAAGGTCAGAAGGATGTGGAGGGGGAGGGGGAGGAGGATGTGGAGGGGAGGGGGAGGGGGAGGGGGAGGGGGGAGGAGGAGGAGGAGGAGGAGGAGGAGGAGGAGGGAGGAGGAGGAGGAGGAGGAGGAGGAGGAGGCGACGCCCGAGCCCTTCGGAGGAACCCTCCACTCCCCCGGGGCCTCCTTCGGGGAGTGCCCCGAACGGGGGCCGCCGCCGCCGCTCAGCGAAGCACCGTCCGGCGCCCGCAGCAGCACCTGCCTCTCGTCCACGCCCTGCCCGGGAGCGTCGCGCGTGGCCCCAGCGGACCTGCGCGGCGCCGGCCCGTTCCCTGCAGCGAGCTGCCCCTCCACCTCCCTCCCGGGCCCTGGCACCTCCTGGCCCTCCCCGTGCCTCCCCGTGCCTCCGTCATGGGCCCTCCCGTCCCCGTTGCCCCAACCCTCCCTCGCTGTTGCCCCGAGGACTCTTCGACTGTGACCACGGTGCCCCGACGGATCCTTCCAAGCGTGTCCCCGTGGTGCTCCCGCTGGTTTGAGGCAATGCCCCAATGGCGTCCCTCTCTCGATTTGAGACGGTGTCCCGATGGACGCCCAGCTCGATTTTAACGATGGTCTCCAGAATGGTACGGGGGGGCCGGTCCACAAGAAACCTTCCACAAGAAACCCAACCCTGAGACCCCAGGACGCCCGTTGACTCTTGGCGTGGGAGCGCAACGCTCTCCACCGCAGAGCAATCGAACCCCAAGAGAACCCAGGGCACCCTGGAGGCAAGCAGCGCAGGGTGCCTCTTGGCATGGGTCTCCACTGTGCAGAGTGTCCCTGAGCACGTCCGACATCCTCCGGACCACCCACTCGACAACGCCGGGGCGCTCGAAGCGCGCGCAGCTCTCGATAGCCGATCCCTCGATGAGCCTCCGGGGCCTCCGCTCCTCGGCGGGGGTCGCGCCCGTGAGGTACCCGGATGGACTCCGTGGCGCAGGAGGCACCACCACCGCAGCGGGCGGCCACCGTGCCGAGGCGCGAGGCCGGAAGCGCACTCTCGAGCCCGCCGCTCGTGCGCCCCGCGCAGGGCAAGGGCGGCCACGTCGGTGCGCACGGGGGCCCTGCGGCGCGGTCCGGAAGGCAACGACGACGACGACGACGACGACGACGACGACGACGACGACGACGACGACGACTTCGACGACGACGACGACGGCGACGACGACGACGACGACGACGACGACGACGACGACGACGGCGGGCGCACGTGGGCGCGTCAGCGCGGCAGCCCGCAGGCCCAGCCCGGCAAGCGGCTCGGTGCAGCATGCCCTGGGCTGTAATGCCGCCAGGGCTGCTTCTTGTGCTTTCCAGTGCATCCAGCAACCAAGCAGTCCTCGCGGCCATGCCTGGTCGCCGCCGACGGCGGAAGGCACGGTGTGGACAGCAACGGGCGGGCGGGAATTCGCGGCTAGCGAGTGGAGCCGCAAGAGCGGCGGAGGTGCGCGCGCAGTGACCACTTCCGTCCCGTGCGCGGACGTAGGGGAGCGCTCAGACGGCACTGCTCAAGCTGCACTCGGCAGGGACTCGAAGCGGGCCGGGCAACGCAAGGGTTGCTCCAGCTCCATGGCCGTGTTCCTGAGCGGCACCGCATGTCGATGGTGCTGTCTGCTGGCGATGGGCCGTCATGCAGCGACGCGCGCTCACACGCAGCAGCGGCAGCTCTGCTGCTGCGCTACAGGGGTGACAGAGCGGGGCAGGTGTCCGTCCTGATAGGGGTGGGACATCTTGCGCTGCTTCTCGAGCAAGGGGCCCGATGAGGCTAATGATGACAGTAATGTCACGGACGAGCACGAGGACGATGATGATGATGCTGCTGATGACGATGATGATGATGATGATGGTGGTGACGATGATGGTGGTGGTGATGCATGCGAAGATGAAGATAAAGATAAGGGTGAATCGAAAGATGATGTTGCTGTTGCTGATGGTGATGGTAATGATGATGAAGATGCTGATTATGATGATGATATTGATGACGGTGGTAACATCGATAGTGATAGCTGCGACTGTTGCTGATGCTCCTGATGCTATTGGATATACACGTGAAGAAAATAATGGTACCGATACTTAACATGATGATGACGATTGTAACGGTGATGGTGATGATGTTGCGGGCGATGCTGCGATAATGAGGATGGCGATACTGATGATGATGATGATGATGATGATCATGATGATGTTAGTGATACTGATGGTGATGATGGTGAAGATAGTGATGATGGAGATGATGGTGATGATGCTCATGATGGTGATGGCGATGGTGATGATGGTGATAGTGATGATGATGCTAGTAGTTAATGGCGATAATGATGGTGATGATGCTGATGATGTTGACGATGATAATGATGATGTGGTGGCGACGATGGTGATGATGATGCGGGTGATGCTGCCGCTGCTGGTGCTGCTAATGGGGGTGCTGAAGATGCGGATGAAGATGGTAATGATGGTGGTCACGCTACCGCATATGAGCATGATGATGCTGATGATGATGATGATGATGATGGTGATGATGATATTGATGATGGTGGTGACGATGCTGGTGATGGTGTTGCGGGTGATGCTGCTACTGGTGCTGCTGCTGATGATGATGGTGGCGATTCTGCCGAGGATGATTGTAGTGGTGGTAATGCTACTGAATCTGACGACGATGCTGTTGTTGCTGATGATGATGCCGACTATAATGGTGGTGGTGATGATGGTGCTGATGATGACAATGCAGAGGGCGACGACGCTGACGATGACGACGATGGCGACGACGACGACGGTGATGATGATGATGATGATTACGATGATGATGATGATGATGATGATGATGATGATGATGATGATGATGATGATGATGATGATGTTGATGGTGATGATGATGATGATGATGCTGATGAGGATGAGGATGAGGATGGGGATGACGATGACGATGACGAGGAGGGAGGAGGTGGAGGGGGTGAGGTGACGCGGGGCGCTGCTGATTCAAAACGAGGACCCAACACCACAGGATGATTGGGCGAACAAATAATCAAGCGGTTGGGACCCTCTGCGACACACAGAAAAGGCGGCATACTTTGAGGACGTGGCCAGGGACAGAGGGAGAGTCGTATTCATATTGAGTAATTGTAGAGGAGAGAGAAATGGAGAGAAAGAGAGAGAGAGAGAGAGAGGGAGAGAGAAACAGAGAGAGAGAGAGAGAGACAAATGAAAAGAGAGAGAGGGAGAGAGACATGACTAGAGAGAGAGAGAGAGAGCGAGAAAGAGAGAGCGAGATCCGCAGCTGGCCCCCCCAGACAGCCCCTAGATAGCTCCAAGATGGCAGGATAATCTCAAGACGGCCCCGCGATGGCCCCAAGACCCTCCAAACGTCCCTATTGCCCTTCAAGACCCCTACCCAGCTCCCCGTGCCCCGAAGGGCCTCCCCCCAGTGAGCCCCCCCAAAACCCGAGGTGCAACTGTAGGGCCAAAACTCGGATCTTCGGCGGCCTTTCAAGACGGTCCAGGCACTCCTGGAACGCCCTCGGCGAGGCGCAGCTGCTGGCACGCATCCAGAGGCTGGGAAAGTACCGAAAACCGACAAAAGCATCCAAAAAGCTCGAATCGCGAACCTCGTTCTGACTTCAGATCCGCCGTATTTGGGCTGTTTTCCCGGAGAGAAAAAACACATCCCTTATAGCGGGCCCGAATGGTCGGCCGGGCGAGTGTCCGCGCCATACCCGCGAGCACCCCTTGATTGGGAGATTGATTGCGTATGGTCGAGGACACGCTTGGCAAAGCAACTGGGCAAAAACACACCCATGCCCATAGTGGGGCTGGGGGGAGGAAGTCTGGCTATGGGTACTGGCGCAGGTTATCGGACCCCGGGGGACGTTCCCTTCCGAGCGGAAGCCCCCCTCGGACAACACGCACCCATGGCGCCTTTTATCCGTCCCGCCTATGGGTGTGTGCGCGTGCTGGTCCTTCGCCAAATATTACATGAGAGAGAGAGAGAGGAGCGAGGACGGAGGCGGGCGAAGGGGAGGAGGAGGGGACGGAGGCGGACGAAGGGGAGGAGGAGGAGGAGGAAGAGGAGGAGGAGGAAGAGAAGGAGGCGGACGAGGAGGAGGAGGGGGAGGAGGACAAGGACAAGGACATCCGCATGAAAGGGGGCCAACGTCAACGCCTACGAAGGAGCTGCGCGCGCGACTGGCAAAATCCCATGCGATTAGACTGCGCCGCAGATTCAGACTTCTCACGGGGGCTGGCAGGGGTCATGCCCCGAAACTTCAGGGGACGAGCTCCAGGGCGGCCCTGTAAGAGAAGCTCGATACCTTGTAAGTACGAGCCCCCACGGGTCAGTGCGGAGGGGGGGGGAGATATTGGCCCTGTCGCGCGCCCGTGACAATGGGGGCGCGCTGGGCGAGCAGGGCCCCCCAAGCGAGGGGGGAGAACGACGACGCGACCACACTCAAAAAGGAGAAGAGGAGGGGATGCAGGAGGCCCCTGCGTGCCAAGTTTTGCTGGGGGGGCCTGATTAAATTCTGCCTACGACCTGCTGTTCTCTCATTCCTAACAGAGTATCTATATTTCTCTCTCTCTCTCTCTCTCTCTGTTTCTCTCTCTCTCTCTCTCTCTGTCTTGTTTTTTGTTTTGTTTTGTTTATACCTCTCTCTCTTTCTCTCTCTTTCTCTCTCTCTCTCTCTCTCTCTCTCTCTCTCTCTCTCTCTCTCTCTCTCTTCTTCTAAGTTCACTTCTCTTCCTGAGCGCGCTGGCCGATGGCTGCCCCATGCAGTGTCGTATCTGTACCCGGATACCCTGCAGTGGCATCCAATGTGCCCCCTCGGCGCGGCGCCTGAGAAAGGGCGATTATACCTATCGCCACGGCGTGTGGGAGGTCAGGTTTTCCCCTCCAATTTTCAGCCATACGTAATACTGTCGGTTCGGAAGAGGAGGGGCCCTTAGGGATGCGCTCTGGTGGCCTTTGTGGTTGCCTCGTTTTTCATGGCTCTTCCCATGCGTAGCGCGCCTGTCGGCACTCCCAAACAATCGGTTTACAACACGCCGTATTCGCGAGCTCTCTCCCAAGGGCCCCCGCGACGAGATGTCCCCGCTAGCGATGGCCGCTCTGAGTCTGCCCGTCTTGCCTGCCTAAGGTCACACTCCGAAATATCCCCGCTAGCGCACCTCCTGTCGCTGCGAGTGGGCTCTCTCGCGCGCGGCCGCCGGAGCTGGCCGCTTCCCCTGGCTTGGCGTACCTCTCGAAGATCTCTGTGTCATCCAGCGGGGTCTTCGTGCTGTCGCGGA